TTTTACCACCATCCACTGTTTGCACTTGAATTACAGAGGGTCTACCTCCTTGGACGCAGTGCTGTCACTTTGGAGTAAAGAGCGGGAAATAGAGGCATCATTAAACTTGTACTGTGTGTGACTCAGAAAAAAATGTTAACATCAACTACACAGATACTGAGAATTCCTTATCCATAAATTGGTAAATGATAATCAGTCACAATCTGAGGAGGTCAGTTTCATAAGAGTCCATTAATGTTAACACCATGCATGTAGTCCTGTGAATTGCTCCAGGGGAACAGGGGTGGTTTTATTAGAAATCTGGATTTTAGCAGTTCTCTTTTCTCCTTTATCCTAGTGTGAGAACACTTCTGTAAAAATAAGGAACTGATACTGATCTTGGACTGTCTCTTCTTAAATATCCATCCCTTCAGCTCTTTGCTTTCACTGCAACAAAATGCATTGCCTGTAAACGAAAGCTGGTGTGTGTCCTGCAGACTATGGATGTGTTGTCTGTAGGCTGATGAGCATGATTTTTAATCATTGCGTTCTTCCTGCAGTCACAAAACCCTAGCATTTTATTTCTGCAGAGGAAATTAATAGAAAGCATTTAAGAGAACATTTAACATCAGTTACTTTAAAAACATTTAGTTATTTCTTGGCTAAGTTTATGAAAATGTAGGGAAGAAAATTACTGAAATTAATGCTAAGAGGTTTAGAAATTTCCTTTCTGACAGTGACCAGAGCCTTCTTTCAAAAGATTGTTTCTTATATCTTACAGAAGTAAACGATCTCACAGCCACTGAAAGATGTGTTCATCTTAGTCCCTTTGACCTCTTTGGGCACAGACATCTAGGATTTCCCAGGCTCATTACGACTAAGAGAAAGCACAACGGTCTGGGTTTATCTCAAAAGGGAGGGAAAGATTTGTGATCTTGTGCTCCTCACTGGGCTCAGCAACCCTTAAAATAGAGTGGGTGGGAGGACAGAGATGCAGGAGGTCAGCATGCACTTTCCATGTGAGCCAGTTTGGGTGCTGTGTTTTCAAAGTGGCAGGACAGCAACCAGCCCGACTTCCAGGAGTGGTAGCCGCAGGCTCTCTTTGGCAGTGGACGGCCAGTGCTGGCAGGCGGCCCTTACACTCCCTGAACCAGGTCTGTTCTCAAACAATATTTCTGTGATGGTATTAAATTCAGAGTATTTGGAAATACTGTAAGACATCAGAAGAAAGGATAATTCTGATTTTTCCCCCCAGCATACATACATCCAGAGTCGTAAAACCTTTTGGGTGTGCCATTCCATCCATTGCTGTATGTGTGCGCTGTGTGTGTGAGCAGGCAGGAAACAAAGCCTCTATTGAGTTCTAGAAATGCAGAAAAGGGATGGGAATGAGAGCCGGCCTTCTGGAAATGCTATTTTTTTCACTTTGGGAATCACTCCAGTAACCAAGTAGAATTTTCTGATACCCTTGCCAAATAAAAGGGCTGAGGTTGAGAAGGAGCATTAGATATTTCAGCTTAACGTACATTTTGGAGAGCAGGGTAAGAAAAGCAAGCCCTAAATATAGATATAAAAGTTGCTTTTGGACTTTCTCTGTGGAATCATGTTGTCACTTCCTCACAGAAGCATAAACATTTTCATGTTCATCATAAATATAATTCATTGGCATAACTTACCCAGAAGAGAGTTAAATCAACGGGCCCCAAAAATGTTAACATTTCTACTGCCTTCTCCCCCGTGCCCCTCACCTACCACCGCCGTCTTCCTGCAACACCTCCTCCTCTTTGCAGCAAGAAAATCAAAGCAGCTACAAAATGAAACTGTATTTGAAGTTTCTCTATATTAGGTGCATATAAAGACCAAACTCTTGTTACATTTGGGTTTATGCCATTCCTTAATCCTTACCTAGTTTTCTTCTTTGTGCTCTACTCCTCCCATTCCTCCCCGACTCCGGTCCCCTTCCAATTACTCCAGAATAAATAGTGAGATCTTTGGGTGAGGTCTTAATGGAAAAGATTAAAGGGACATCCATGCCCGGATAAATGTATTGATCTTTTATCAAAACACGTTACCCAAAGTAGGGATGAGCTAGTGTTCCAAGACCCAATGGTCTGACCCACATCCCTGCCCACACCTAGCCCTCTCTCGACCCTGGCCTCCTAGTGAGGATGCCAGCCATGCAGTTCGCCTGTATTTCTCTAAAATCTGTGTAGCAGGGACCAGATTGGTGATGTTAACAGAAGGACCTTAGGAACTCTGCCTCTTTTCCTAGCTTCTCATTGAACTGCCCAAGGACCCAGCATCCCAGGTCTCTCCTTGCCCATTTCACACTCTGTAGAGGAGGCATTGCCAGTAAGTTCTCTTGCCATTGCATGTCAGATCGATGATACATGTCCGGGGGTACCTGGGCATAATTCTGCCATTCCATTTTCTCACATTTAAGAAAGTGTGTTTGCCGAAGCCAGTTTGGCTCAGTGGATAGAGCGTCAGCCTGCGGACTGAAAGGTCCCAGGTTCGATTCCGGTCAAGGGCATGTACCTGGGTTGCGGGCACATCCCCAGTGGGAGATGTGCAGGAGGCAGCTAATCGATGTTTCTCTCTCATCGATGTTTCTGGCTCTCTCTTTCTCTCTCCCTTCCTCTCTGTAGAAAATCAATAAAATATATTTTAAAGAAAGAAAGAAAGCATGTTATCACCTTGAATGTCTTATAAGTGTTTTTAGCAAATTATTCCCAAAATCTTGGCACTTTATTATTAGAGACCAGCTGTTTTTCATCTGATGTAAACGCACCATGGTTGAGTACCCCTGGCTTGGGGCACCTGATGGAACTGCAGGCCCTTATCCTGAACCACCGCTTCATTTCCTACACTGTGGATGGGAATTCTCCTTCAAATGTGTGTTAAGCAACCAGAGATACAAAGATACATAAAGGCTCAGTCCTGCCCTGTAAGGGCAGAATCTAGTTGGGGAGATAGACACACATAAAAGTAATGATTCCATAGGGAATGTTACAGTGATGCAAAGAGCAAGTTGTTGTGGGATTGAGTTTCTAATTAATCTTGAATTCAGGCCTATGATTTTGGAATTGGGTCTTGGGTAGAAAGGATGCTCTGTGAGTAGAAAAGGGAGGATGTTCCCAGCAGAGAGGACAAGCTAAGTAAAGATATGAATTTGGTGGGTGAGTCTGAGGACTGGGGCGTGCTGCATGTGACCAGGATGGAGGATACATGGAGGCAGGTGAAGAGCAGGGAGATTAGGATGGACGTGAGGATGCACTTGGGCGAGACGGTCCAGGGCCTGCAGAGGGTGCCAGGGATTTGGTCTTCTGTCCTGTAAGCAAAGGGAAGCTGTGGAGAGGTGTTGGCAGTCAGAGGACTCAGATGGTAGGGGCACTGGAGGCCTGGGGTGGACAGAGTGTGGACATCAGAAGACCAGGTAGAGCACTGTTATACTGATCCAGGCAGAGATGGGGGCCCTTAGAGGACAGTCAGCCAGTTGGAGACTAGTTCTCTCCCTTGTCTTTGTGTTTTCCAGACTAGCACCCCCATTGCCTGACCACAAGAATTGTGCTCTGTAACAGTTGAACTTAGACCAATTGACTGTGGAAGATGAGAAAAGTGGGGAAGGGATGTAAAAACATTTAGCTTGGAATAACAGATAGAGGAGGGGCAGGTTTGGGGTGCGAGGGGTGGGAATGGGAAAAATCGGTTAGTTTTTAGGGGGTTTGATTGGAATTGCTGGTGAGGGTGCCCCTTAAGGATATCTAGGAGACAGCTGGAGATAACGGGCTTGTCACTGAGAGAGCTAGCTTTCACGTCAGCTCTGTCCTTAGGGCCTAGATGGATTGGGGAGTCATGCATTTTGGTATCTGTCCTTATTCTTTTTCCATTAGAAAGGCTTCTCACTGTGATTCTGTTATCCCTCCTGTCAGCTTCCCGTACCTGAAACCCCAGTCTGCCCTGCTGTGGAAAGTTTAGGGGTTCACCATGGGAACCTGCCATACCTCAGTGAACTGGGTTCTGCCCCAGGGCCTCTGCACTTTGATGCAAAGTCATCTGATCATGCAGACGTGGCCAAC